AATTGCACACGGCAATGGTGCAACGGAAATGGTGCACCGGAAATGGTGCAACGGAAATGGTTGGGGCTGAAAGAAGTGCTTCTTGTGTGTATGCATATGGTATTAACTTAACAAAAATTTGCTAATAAAAGGTTAAAGAATAACACTTAGAAAAAGACCGATACAAGAATGAAAGTAAAGGTGACTACGTACGTTCTTGGGACGTATCGATAAAATAATCGATATTTTTATCGATATTGCTATCAATTTTGCTATCGATATTTTCGGAACTAATCGATATAATAGTCGCTATCTTTATCGATTTTGTTATCGATAGTTTTATCGATTTGTTATCGATAGTCTTATCGATTTTGTAATCGATATTTTTAACTATTTTGTTATCGATATTTTTTTCGATTTTGTTATCGATTTTGTTATCGGTGTTTATAGATTTTGTTAGCGATATTTATCGATTTTGTTATCGGTATTTATCGATTTTGTTATCGATATTTATCGACTTTGTATCGACATCTATAGATTTTGATATGGATATTTTTATCGATTTTGTTATCGAAATTTTTATCGATTTTGTCATGGGTATTTTTATCGGTTTTTTTATGGATATTTTTATCGACTTCCTAATAGATTTTGCTATCAATATTATTATCGGTTTTGTTATCGATATTTTATTGGATGTTGCTATCGAATTTGTGATCGATAGAGTATAAAGATAGAAATTAAGATAAAGGAAAACAGAATAACATAAATGTAATTAGAACGAACAGGGGTAGAGGTAGGGATCTAGATAGAAAAAGGACAAAAAATATAACCTTAAGCAAAAGCAGATGTATGTATGTATGTACATATGTATGTATGTATGTATATTGTCTATGAGACAAAGTAGATATGTATGTAACGTAAGCTTTACTTCTCCAGCGTGCCCCAGGCGCACTTTCTTTTCTTCTTTTGTTCGTGAATGCATCAATACAAAGCATCACTTTTATTATTTCCCAACTGTAATTGATGGAAATGTCCAATATGCCGAATTGGAACTAAGCTGCGCAAAGTCAATTTCGTCAATTATTGTTTTGAAACGGAAAAACTGATGAGCAGGGTATTGTTATAAAGTTTTTTGCAATGTATGGGGGCCCGGGTGGTTTTTTGAATTAGATTTGATATCAAAATTTTTCTGGGCGAAATAAATAATGCTTATTAGTGAAACAACTTATGAACAAATCAAATTTGCCTTCTAACTTTTTAACCCATAATTAAAAGAAAGTGTATTACTGTGCACCTATTTAAAAAAAAAAAAACCAAAACTCGGTCAAGATATTTAAGGACAATTTGCACCGTTTGTTTTTTGTTTTTGCACACTTTCGGTATACTTTTGGCCAGCATTGACTGCGCCGCCGATTTCTCGGTGCTGTGCTGCACCAATCGTTGCGCCATAGCCAAGATGCGCCTAAAGTTGGTTGCGCAACGAAGCTTACAAATGTCGGTCATGTGGCAATTGCAATGGTGGAGCCCGCCACAGCCGTGCACACACACACAGTCACAGCAGCGCCAGCCGTCCGTCCAACTGCTGTTAGCGGCAGAAGAAGCGCTGCCATGCAACGAACGAACGGTAGATATACTAAAAATAGAGACAGGCGAAAGACGGCGGAGTTTACGAAAGGCGATGAAATGGAACGGAATAAATTTGCACTCTCGAACAGCATGAGCGCACAGCAAAAATATGTTCAAGTGCAGAAATGTGGAGTGGAGAGCAATGAAGTGGTGTGGTTTCAGCACCACATAAACTGCATTGGGCTTATTGTGTGCCTATTGTGGTGAAAAATATGCAAGATACATAAATACATGCTACTGAAGCAGTGCATATATTATGTTGAAAAATGGAGTCGAGTGAGTGAATGTAGAACCACCAATGGCATGAATGGGGTCAGGGATTTGCAGTGCCGCCACTAATGTATGCCACAAGTGCACTGCTTACAAAATCAGTTGCACTGCCCAGTCGTGCCAACAGTTAAATAGCTAGCGAAAGAGTCACAAAACACAATATACATACATATACATATGTACATTGGTACGGAAAATCGACAACTGTATACTTACGGTGACCATTCGTACCGACTTTTAGGAAATTGTCCCGCTGAATATTCTTTAAAAGTCGGGATGTATAAGTGTCCCGATTTTTCATATTAGTACCGCTTGAGTCCCGATTTTCAGTGTTTTATTTATTAATTTGACAAGAGTCCTCCTGTACTCTGGCACAAAAACAATTTTTGGAACAAATATGGCAGCATTTTCGTTATGACATAACATAGAGCTTAGAATACATATAGGGGAGACATAAACATAGCCAGCATCTTTATTTTCAATTATCCTTGGTTATGTTTTATTCTGTCAAACTAGTTCTCTCTCTATATTGCAGTCATCATTCTTATCAAAAGTTTTTTGTAAAGTAATTTTTATAATTATTATTGTTTTTTATTTAATTAAATGATTCTAACGTGAATTTAGTGGAATTATAAAAAATAGTACTAATTCCCTAAAACATTCTAGTATACGAAAAATATAAGCTGTAGATACAGTGGCGAAAATGTAAATAGGGAAGAAACATTTAAGCATTCCTTTATTATTTTTTATGAAAGTGTAGCTCGTTATATAAAAAAACCATGTAAATTAAAAAAGCTGTCGAACATACTTCAGGAGCTACAGCTACAGCCACTTCGAACTTGCACTTTGGTATAATAAAATTTAATGGGCTACACAACTGCATGCTCAAAGTTCTAAAAACCTGATTAACAATTTTAAAATTTTGATCAATATTTGTTAAAATTCGACGAATTTTTGTAAATGTTCTACGAAATTTTAAACTTTGCTTTACATGTTTTATAGCATTATAGCATGTTTTTAAGCATTAAAAATTTTCTAAACAAAGAAAAGTAGCCAAAACTTGCTAAATTTCTTTTCCCTACCTACATTCTCAGCTCACATTTTTGCGATAATTTTTCAAGATTTTTTTTTCTTTGTTTTGTCTTTTTATCCTATAAACAAAATTGTATGTACAGATTTGATACTTCCGAAATGTTCCAATTTTTGTCCACAGAAATCTGGTCACCGTATGTATACTAGATATTTTGGCAGCTAGTAATTCGACACTATTCGCATTTGTTTGTACTTTGCTTTGTGGTAAGCAATATTTGGTTTGAATGGTAGCAAGTGAGACGTGAGGGTCGAGACTGCTGCTGCAGCTATGTATCTTTATGGCTTCCATTACTTCCATTATACGAGTAACACGATGTATTGAACGGTTTCGGGCCACATATTTAGGTGTTACTAATTTCCACTGCTGCGTTACATTTGCTGCACTTGTTTATATAAACCCTTGAAGAAACGTTTGGTGTTAAGCGCATTTTACTGTATTTACAAATATTTAGATTACAAATCCTGCCAATAACATAAATAAGAAATTTTGTTACTGAATGAGTGAGTAAGTGTGTGTGTGTGTGAATATGTTATTTGCCCTTTCACGCTCAAATAGCTGGACGTATTTGAACGAGATTTGGCACACAGATAACATAATGGATATTTTTTGGAGAGAGTTGCCACCTTTTTAAAAAGTTAAAATCAATTAATTATTGTGTTAAATAAAATATTACAAAATAAGGAGTGTCAAACGAAATGGATTCTAAAACAGTTTATTTCTATTAACTCTTCATAGGGTTGCCACCTGTTAAAACTGTTTAAATCTAGTTAAATAAAATATTTTTATCTAATAATCAAATGAGAAAGCTTTAAACATTTTTATTTCGAAAAAGATTTTGGCGTGGGTTGCCACCTGTTTTAGAGTTCAAAATCATTTTAAGCAAAAAGTTAAATGAAATATTTTATATCAGGTTACAATAGACGAGAGATCTACGAAAGCATAATTTCGAAAGCATTTTTGAAGAGGGTTGCCACGCGTTTGAAAATTCGCGATCAATTTATTTAACTATTTAAGTGAAATACTCTATTATGGGTATCAAACGAAAGAGGGTTAAGTAAGTCTTATTTTCGAAATATTTTTCTAGAGGGTTGCCGTCTGCTTAAAAAATCAAACTAAGTTTAATAATAATTAAATACTTTAATAAGAGTGTCAAACGAGAGAGATTTTAGGAAATGTCTATTTCGGAAATATTTTTGACTAAGGTTGCCACTTCGTTAGAAATTTAAAATCAATTTAATTAACAAAGTAAATGAAATACTTTGATGCCACGAAATTGTGGGTATGATATTTTTTGATGTATTTGGGATTGCCTTCAAGTGTGAATAAAATGACATTTTATCACTTTACTCACCCTAATCCTCAATTAAGTACTCAAATGTTCGCCAGCGAAATAATGTTACTCCCACCACCAGTCAACATGAATACGTACTTTACTAAAGATTCTAATTTGTAGAATCAGAGGCAATTAATATGGTTATGATGTGTGGCACACTTTATTTTTGGCAGCCAATTGGCAAACAGATATTAATGCGTTATATGTGTTTAACGTTAGAGCAAGAATAATTGCAAGCAATATTCGATATGGTCGTTAACGCCCAGGCGAATAGCTATGTATTTAATACTTTAGCAGCAAAAAAAAAATATTTGTGTATGTACACAGTATATAAATATGTATATGTAGACCAAGATGTAAACCAGTTAAGAATGAATCGTTTAGCACATTTGTTTGCTATAGGTAAGTTTGTTGTTGTCATTTTTGTAATTTCCATTTGCTGCAATCGATGTGTTCAAGTGATAAAGTAGCCGAGTTTATTCTGCCATTCGCAACATACAATAAGTACACGAGTGTGTAGGTACGATTATATAGTACTCATGCATACATGTACATGTATAAGTATACATACATATTTGTTTCTCATGTGTAAGT